CGTCCACCTTCCAGAGCACGACCGGCCACTGTGTCCACATGCGAGGTCTGCCCTACAGAGCCACTGAGAATGACATCTACAACGTGAGTGCCACATGCTGCTCCCCAGTGCATGGCTTTGGGTCCCGGGGTCCTTGTGGGGACATACCAGCTGCCCTGCAGCTGGAGTGTTCCTCTGGAGAAAGTGGCTTGTTGTAAACCCAAGCTGTTGCATTGGTGCGTTTTAATCTGTGTGACTGTTCCATGTGTAGTTCTTCTCACCTCTGAACCCTGTAAGAGTACACATTGAAATTGGACCAGATGGCAGAGTAACTGGGGAGGCAGACGTTGAATTTGCTACTCACGAGGACGCAGTGGCTGCTATGTCCAAAGACAAAGCAAATATGCGTAAGTCCGACTGCTCGGGAAGAGGTGGCTTTAGGGAGCTTCCGGCACTGCAGTGTAGTGCATCTGCTGCAACTGGAATGCCAAAGATTTCACTGCAGCTTCACTTGCAGTGAGACAAGCTGCATGGGTTTGGTGTGAAATGCTCTCATGGGAAAACTTTCTTCTTCCAGAACACAGATATGTAGAACTCTTCCTGAATTCTACAGCAGGAGGAACTGGAGGTGCCTATGGCAGTCAGATGATGGGAGCAATGGGTATGTAATGGTCTTGCTGTACTTCGAGAAAATGTTTGCTATTGAAGCAAGCTGGCTCGTTTTGTACAGCTCCTGCTTTATTGTGTGCCTGGTATCAAAACTGAAATTCAACGTTCTGTCTTAATCACACAGTCAAGGAGTCGGAAGGGGTAGTCCAAGATTGGAACACTAGCACATTGCCAGGTATATAAACCTTTTGGGGTTACATTTGAGGTTTAATAGGCTGAATAAACCTGTGGTGCTGAGTGTGGTATGCCTGGTGGGATGAGTGGCTTCTTTGGGAGTGTGGTAGTGCAAAATCTGGGAGATGCCTGTCCTTTTATTCTCCTTCCCCTTCCCTGTTGGGGGATACCAGAACATAGTTCGGTGATGGAGGATGTATCTGTGGCATGTGACCTGCCATTCAAGCTGAGTCTTGGTGGTGAGAGAGAGATACTTGGAATTGGGAAAAATTGTCTGAATTGCTCTTGCAAACCCCAAAATCGTTTAAAAATCTAAAATGTGTGTTTGCAGCACAAGTCTTAAATGCCTGTTGCAGTTATGCCTCTAAGACAGATACCCTCCTGACACCCAGCTGGGCTGGTTTCGGAGCTGAAGGTGGGGTTGGTTTCTGGGGGGCTCCTTTCTCTGGAGGGTGGGAGGGTGTGGATAGTAGTTGGTTACAAAATGTTTGTAATTCTAATTGTGATAGACTGCAGAAAGGAGTGTAGGCAAATGATGAGGTGAAGAGCAGTTGTTGGTTTAAACAGAGTTATCTGTCTCTGAGCCACAGCACTGCTGTGAGTGATGCACAGTCGGTCTGGAGCAGAAATAAGTCTGTCAGGACCATGTACACATGAGTGACTTCAGTTAATGAGCTTCTGTGCTTTTGGAAGGGCAGCACTTGGTGTGAGATCCCTTAAAACCAAGTTTTAAGTTTTTTGGGGTGTGCTACATACAGTGCAGGTTGAGCCTATTTAGTATAGTCCACAGAAATTGTAAAAGTAACTTCTAAAGTTCTTGTTGCTGCTTGGTTGCAGGGATGTCTTTAGAAACCCCATCACATTCCTTGAGCATGTTAAACTTCCCTTGGTGTGAGCAAGGTAGTGCCAGAGTGCAGGGGCTGTTGGTTGGGTGAGGGGTGGGTTTGTTGATGATGAGCAGATCTTGACCGGCAAGCTCTTAATGTTTTTACCCTTGACTTAAAAGGGAGCCAATCCAGTTACGGTGCTCCAGGCAACCAGCAGCTGAGTGGGGGTTATGGAGGAGGATATGGAGGTCAAAGCAGCATGAGTGGCTATGGTAAGAGCATTTCTTTGCTGGTTTCCATTGGGCCAGGTGCAGCTGACTTAACATGTCCTTACTGGTGTTAAAGGGTTGTGTTATAACCTGCACAGCACAGGCTCTGAAAGTTAAAAGTGTGGCTACTGTGAACTTTGGGGAATGGGAGGGATTAATTCAAAGCTGCAATGGGGAGCTGAGGGGGGGGGAAATGTGGAAAACTATTCTGAAGGGGGCGCAGGAGATGCCAGTCTCAGACTTGCATTGCTCTGATCACTTTTCTTAATCCAAAAGCTGGAGAAAGCTTTGTTTAAATGCAGTACAAATGGGGGAGGGGGTCATGGGAGGCTGGGTCCTCCCTGTTCCCCCAGAGCAGTGGTAAAGCTCTGGCTTGGGAAGGGGGGTGATACAGAGCTCGTGCTGTCATTGAACATCCCGTAACTGGCTTTGGGTACGGAGCTGTAAACTGACACTTTGCAGCGTTGGGCACGGTAGACGGTATTTACGAGGTGGCCCAGCAAGGACAGGCGTTGGGGCAAGGATGCTTCGAGTCGGCCTGAGGCAGCTGTGAACCTGCTGTCGGTTTCCCCCTCAGACCCCGGGAGCCAGGGCGCCATGAACAGCAGCTACTACAGCAGTGGGAACCGCGCATCCATGGGAGTGAACGGCATGGGCGGCATGTCCAACATGTCCAACATGAGTGGTGGCTGGGGAATGTAACCAATCGCTGACTTTTGGTCACATCTTTTTTAAAAAACAAAAAAACAAAAAACTAAGTTTAACAGTTTTGCAATACAAGCTTGTGATTTATGCTTTACTGTAAGTGAATTCAGGATTGTTTTAAAACCTTTCAGGTTCAGTATTTTTGAACATACAGAAATGAACATTCATCTAGGATGTAATAACCAAGTAGAGACTATAACTGTTAAACAATTTGGAGCGTTTCTCAAGTTAGTTTCGTTGTAGGAGTGTATTTAAGCAGTAAGCGTATTTAGGTTAAAGCTGTTTGAATTATGTTAAATGTTGCTCTTATACCATATTACATCCAACACTGTTTTGAATACATGTTGAAAGAGACATGCTTTTTTGTAAAGAACCAATATAGGAGCTGTGTCTGAAAATCGAAGTGAACATTTGGCATGTTAGTTCTAGTTTATTTCTTTTAATATCCTGTAAGGCATGTTAAAGCTTTTTTTTTTAAGTTAATGGGGGAAACATGTTGAGACGCAATACGGCTACTTTAGGATTTTGGTCTTGGTGTTCGTATAAAATTCTGAGGCCTTGATTTAATCTTTCATTGTATTGTGATTTCCTTTTTAGGTGTATTGCGCTAAGTGAAACTTGTTAAATAAATCTTCCTTTTAAAAACTGGAACTCACTCCTTCTTGACCTCCAGCTTCTCTTGTAACCAGACTTGCACCCATGTCCTCTGACTCATGCTCTTGTCCTGCAGCTGCCACACAGTGACTCCTGAGGGAGCACTGACCCATAGAGTGTTACACCTGGGGGGCAGAGGCAGCCAGCCCCGCTGCTGGCTGTGCCCAGGGGGCGTTGGTTCAAAGCACTGCATGGCTGTACCCTGAGCAGGGCCCTGGGCCCTAAAACTGCTGGGCGGATGAGAGGTGATTCTGTACTTTCCTGTAGGCATCGGTGGACTGGGCAGCTTACTGCAACCATGTTTCAATAAATGTAACTTGTTAAACAGCCTGCTTTAAGATGTGGTTTTGTAAGCAATGTAGTTACAGCTTCTTCAGCACTGCAACTGCCCCTGGAATAATATGGGATCTGCTTCCGTGCAGTCAGTGGTCATAGTATTTTGTTTGCCCTTGGTAATGAACCATTTGTCCTGAAGGTTTAAGAACCTGAGGTCCTTTTCTACAGTGTTCTGTAGCAGAGGAACTGTAAGGGTGGAATTCTGAGCACTGGCTATTTCAGCCATGGCTGTCTGCCATGAAAACAACCTGCTTGCTGAGGGGAATGCTGACTGAGCCCAGCTCAGTGGTCCTGCTGTGCCTCTGTCAGAGCTGGGGCAGAGTGGGGATCACGCCTGGGTTTGCAGTGTTCCACATGGAGCTGCTCTGGAACCTGGGGCACACACGGGAACTGTTGGGTGCTGCTTGGGGACAGGGCTGCCTTCACCATGCTGCTGGTGATGTGACAGCTCCGTGCACTGGCACAGGAACACAGACTGCTTTGGGATCCCTGGTGCAGCCATGCCCAGGCCTGGCAGAACGAACCAGAGTCCCCTGGGGCTGGGGGCAGCAGCTGCTCCCTTCTGTCCCAGGGGTGTGGACACAGCTGGAGCCACTGCCCTTTTTTTTCTGGAAAAGGGTGAAAGCAGTTCCAGCTGCAGAGCAGTGGCTTCATCTGGCACCTTCCAGGGAGTACCACAGTGTTGGTCAAGTATCCCAGACATATGCTGCTACCTTTAGCTTAAACCCTGGATATGCATGGCTGGAAAAACTTCCAGGATCTGTGAGTGACAGGTGTTAAAAATAAGCACTTTGCTTGCTTTCAGTTTTTGCAAAAGTCTTTATTGTGTAACTACTGCACTGTGGTCACAGCAACTTCCAGAACAAGTATAATGTGCAGTTTTTGACTCCGCAGTGAACTGAAGGCACATCCGACACTCCTTATAAAGCTTTCTATAGACAATTCATAAATTGACCTTTTCCTCTCTGACTGACTTTGAGCAAATACAAAACTGTACACGAGCCAGGGGAACACACAGGAGCACCTACAGTGAATGTAAAGAAATTAAATTAATTTACAGAGAGACAAACATGTCTACAGGGATCAAATAAATGTAGAAATACCATATACAAATTTTAATACAAATATCTATAAAAATCAGAAAAATGAATCTTAGTTTCAAATAGAACTTTTGGGGAAATTACAGTTGATATAAGCTTCTTAGTTATTTCAATTGGAGAAGCGTTAGCTTGCACAATCCCTACAAATTAATTTACACTGCTGTTAGAGTGGAAATTATCAGACCAGCCAGTCCAGTCTGCTGCACAGAAGACACCTGCAATTCAGAATTAAAAAAATAATGGCTACTTTCCAATGTTAAAGTGGCTCTGTCAAGGGTGGGAGAGCCTTAGGAGGAGTTAGAGGAGCACTGCTGGAGTAGCAACGTGTGACAATTATCACAGACACGGACGGGTTTTGGGTAGGATGGCAGCGCGAGTTCGTTACTGGAACAAGTGTTGCAGAAGATGTCCCCGCAGTTTCTGCAGTGGTGCTACAAAAAAAAGAGTCAGAATGAGCACAGCTGCCTAAAAACAGCATCAGGAAGAGAGGAGTCAGGCCTTGGGAACTGTGTCCGAGTCCACCGAGACCCTCCAGCCCTCCCAGCAGCACTTCGTCCTGTGCAGGGCCGAGCACAGGGCGCGATCCCAGCGCAGCTGCCCTCCCTCCGCGGCCAGGAGCTGCACCCGCCCTGGCTCGGGGCCAGCCCGGAGCAGGAGCCGGAGCGGCCGCGGGCCTGGCTGCGGAGGGAGGACCCTGCAGGGAGAGCTGCACACACTGCGGTGTGTGTCCTGCTGTCCCACACCGCGGCCGGGCACTGAGCGGTGTCTGCTCAGCTGGGAAGGGAGCCTGAACGCAGCCACAGCGGCTCTCTACCGAGAGCAGCGAAGCAGGGGGCAGTATTACTTTTTAGGTGGTAAATGCCAAATTATTTATCATGCCAAGTTTCGGAATTGAACAGGTTCGGTCTTCCCTAGCAAAGTATGCAACAGTATGCAACAGAACCACTTTTGTTTTCCATGGATTATTTAAAAATAATCTGCTGAACGACATTACCTTTCTTCTTGAGATAGAAAATTCTTTTTTACATTGCTTGCAGTGGGTTGCTTCATCATCCTTCAGCCATGTATGACCCTGGAAAATTGGTATGAAAACCATGCTGGAGATACAAATAAACTTATACCAACGTTGCTGGTACTTTTCAAAAGTACCTTTTAGAGCAGAATAACCACTGTGAAATTTGAAGGTGTTAAATGAAATTCATATACTTAGTCAAAATATCCATGAGAGTGTACCTTTAGTGCTTTATTTACTTCTTTAATGTCTTCCATCTTAAGCTTTGATCTGGAAAAAAAGAAATTATGCTCTGCATGACTTTTTATTTAGTTGTGTTTGGTTTTCCCTGCCATTCCACTGTTGAGCCACTGAACCCAAACCCCAGTTCTTCAGTCAGCTCTCTCCTACCCATCTGAACCACTCACTATCACCAGGAAACTTTGGCAACTCAGGGTTTACCTCTTTTTCAGTATAAACAGAAGAATGTAGGAAAAGCACAGTTCCACTCTAAGAACTAAACATTCCCTTTAATGTTTCCTCTCAGCCACCTCACTCTAATAAGATCCTCCCTCACTTTCATTTCATGGCTCTTTAGTTTCTCATACATAGTAATTGCCTACTAAAATTCTCACATCAATTGATTTTTATAAGTAAATGAGGTTTAAATTCTTGGTATTAGTCTGATACTCCAGCTTATGTCACTTACAGGAGTTCTGTTCCCTAGAACTTACTGGCTGAGATGAAGTCCCATTTCTTGAAGAGCTTGCTCCTGCTCCTCACGGACCTTCTTCAGCTGCTGCTTCTCATCTTGCAGTTTTCTCAGCTCCTATGAAATCAAGCACAAAATCAAGTTTTTTATGCACTGCTTGACCTATAACCTCAATTAGTCTACCCAAACTACCCAAGCAGTTTATAAGAATCAGCTCCTTTCCAAAGCCCCCTGTTTCTAAGGCTGGATTTTTAAAATTACATGGGGGAACTACCTACAGGTTCTGCACAAACAGTGGACTCATTTAACCATATTTACCAAGAAAAGGAAGATTTTCAGGCTTTGAATATCCTTCAACATAGCTAGAAAATGGCAGTCGTGTGCCAACACAGGAGCACACAGACAGGTACAGGTGCACAACTGTATCTTCAGAAACTGCTCCACATGTGGCAGCAAATCCTCTTCAGGTTAACAAGAATGTTCATGCTTAAAAAATAAATCACATTCAGTTGTTCTGAATGCTTGAAACTGTGCATACCTTTTTCAGTCCTTCCATCTGTTGCAATTCTGTTTTAAGCAGAGTGGTTGCATCCTTCTCTTGGTGCAGTTCTTTTTGCAAAGTTTGTCTCTGTTCCTTTTCGGATTTTAACTCCTTTTCCAGAGTTGAGCTGTTTAAAAATAATCCATTAAAAGAAAAACCCTATAGCAGAAGAATGTCCTATAGCACTTAGGGATAGCAGCAATGTGAGAAGTAGAAATCTTGTCTAAAAGAGGGCAAAACTAGAGTGGTGTTCTGGGAAAGAAAAGAACAGGCAGCAGATGTCAAAAATATTAACACTGTTAACATTTAACATATGTTAACATTTTCAGGTCACAGAAAACAAACAGCAATGAAGGGCTAGAAGAAAACCAGCCAACCAAAAGACCCCCAAAGAAACTAATCCTCATGAGTTAATATTTCACTACCTGTGTTTAAACTGTCGTGTTTAGAAGGGACACTCTACCCTGCAGTCTGAACAGTGAAAGAAGATTTTTCTATTGATTTTAGAAATCTTTAGAGGATTAACATTCCCTAAAAAACCACCCATAAGTCCCTTGAAAAATCCCAGTCCCTTTGGATGACAGCCAGTTGTATGCTCAGCCTACAATCATGAGTACACCTATCTCCTGATTTATTAAAAAAGTAATTGAAAGCTCCATTGCTAGTTGGAATGGGCAGATTTTTTGCTGCCACTCTGTGCTCTAAATTAGATGTTCTGGAAAAAACATGTCAAAATCCTGATGCTAAGATGCTAGAAGTGTTGTCCTTCCCTGAGTTCTGCATATGTCTGTCAATGCTGAAGCCAACAAAATTTCAAACTTACCCCCTTCTTAGACCTGAGCATAAAAGGAATAGAAAACACTTCTTAAAGAAATGGCAAAGGGAAGGAAAACACCTGCTCAGATTAAATACCATTTGCTGTCCAGCTGGGCCATCTGCTGCCGACATGAGTCGAGCCTCCCAGCCAGCTCCTGCTTCATCTTATTGCACCGTTCCTCTGCTGCCTGCCTGGCCTTCTCTGCCTGCTGCAGCCTGCGCGGGAAGGAACACAGACATTTGTTTTCGATTCACTCCTTCCCTGCACCCTCTCACCCTCTTGTTTTAGAGTTACCACAGGGATCTTTACAAAAGCTTGAACTGAAAATGCTAGTGGAGAAAAAAAAAAGACTTTTGAAAGAGTTGTTTCTGGAAAAAAACCAAAAGCAAAGTCACACCTGTTCTTAAAGTGAAGTTAACATGTTTTTCAACAGCCTGCTTATAGAAAGAGCTATTGTTTTCCAGTGGGTCAGTTATGGGCATGTGTGCCTGGGAACAGAGAACAGCAAACACAGAGGGATGAAGAGGAGAAAGTAAAAAACTCATGCTGGCACACAGGCCCAAATGTCTATGGGGCATATGAAAGGTCATCCTGTAAAGGTTTATACTGGAAACTTTCTACTGGCTTCAGTGTTGACTTTCTGATCTTGCAATTATTACCTCTCTTCCATTTGTTTCATAGAGGACATCATCTCATTTGTTTTTCCTTCAAAGGAGGATATTGCTTCTGTTTTCTGTTGTAATGAACACTCTGCATTCTGTAGGAAATAGTGAACAGTGTTTAAGGTCTGCCACCAGATAAAGAATGTTCAACTTGCTAAAGGCCATGCTTGGGTCTGACGGGAATGTGCAAACAAAATGCTGATAATTCCAGAGCAGACATTGCTCCAATTGTTTTGTTATAACCTCATTAAAAACCCAAACCACCTTAACTATGTTTTGACCTACGAGATCAGCTACAAGCCAAAAATGTTCTCTTCAGAAAAAGCCTGAAGAAATAAAACCAGATTAAATTGACAGGCTAAGAATACCAACAATGATTTAAATGTAACAACTGCACTCAGTGGGCATGGAACCAGGAAGCAAAAAAAAACTCCAAATAAATACTCCTTTCAAAAGTAAAGGCACAACTCAGCACTGGGGTTTCTCTGACTTGCAAGTGTCTGGGAAGGAGGCAAGGACCTGATTAAAGCCTGAACAGGCATCAAGAATTAATTGAAAAATTGAAAGAAATCCCCTCTGGATTTCTGGCACCAGGTGTGGGAGAGGAAGGCTCGCTGAACTCTTACTTCATGCATGGAGATGCTAGTTAAACTTTTATTTCATTAATGGAAACAAGCTCTGTATATTTTGTGTGAGCACGGCTACACCATGGCTTCCTTGTAGAAATGCCTGTCATACAGTTCTGTTCAACTGAAAAAAACGATGTAAAACCACAACCCACCCAAATAAGAGAAACTCCACAAAACCATCCCCAGCCCCCTGTACATACCTGGGATTTGTGAAACATCTGCAAGTTAATGGCCTTCACTTCTTCTAACTGTTGGCGAAGGGCAACTAAAGTGTCTTGTTTTTCATGAGTATCTTTTTCCAGAAGTTTCATGGCAATTTCCATTTCTGTTTTCATTCCAATTTGTAGCTCCAACTCTTTCTCTAGTTCCTTCAAAGACATTTCCTAGTTACTGCTACGTAGCCATAGGTCAAGGATAAAACCCAGACAACCCCATACACAAACTATGTCTCTGTTATAATAATGCCAGTGGTTTCTTAAAAAGAGACCTTTTATTTCCAATATTCCAGAAGCCCCAATTCCCAACACCTTACAGACACTGTTAATGACCAATGGCCAGCATTTTGCTTGCAGTTGCTCTATGAATTCTGAACAGCTGCAAAAGATGCACAACTGTCATCTTGTATTTGTAATGTTACCTTAGACTGAATCCTGTGTCTTTCACTTGACTTTCTATAGTTAAGTTTCCTTACCAGCCTGATTTTTTTTTCTTCTTTCAACTGCTTCCAAACATCACTGTACATTTCATCAAGGCCCTGGCGAGACTGCTTGTAAGTATCCAATTCTACTTTTGTATCTTCTTTTGTTACCTACAAAAAACATCAGCTACATAAGATCACAAAGTATTTAAAGTATCTGTTTAATTCTTGTGTGTAACACAATATTTCAATGTGCTATTTCAAGTAACGTCCTACTGTTTTACAATCAATGGCCTGGCAAACATTAATAAGCTGAAATTTCAAAGATACGGTAATGATGAAAATACTTCAATGCTTTAATACTTCCACTACATTGAATTTGTTTTTCCTTCTGCAAGTGTATTTTTGTGTGTGTAGTAAAGAACAGTAAAATCTAATGCCTGAGCATACAACACCCAAACCCAGTGACCTCCATAGCAATGTGCTCAACTGTGCTGAGCATTCCAGTGCACAGTGGGCTCAGGAGAACTCAATACAGCTGACCAAAAGAGATCACTTATTTTAAGGATCCTCATCACCTCTAAATAGATTTCCCACCTCTACGCTTTTTTCACTCCGTTCACGAATTAATTCATTCTGTTGTTTTAGCTGCTGCTGCTCTTCCTGAAGGGATCCAATTCGGTCGGTAGCTGCTGCAAGCTGTGTGAAGAGAACAGATCTATATTTAATCACTGTGCAATCATGCAGCATCTGGAGCAATTCTGAAGTCAGTAGCTCAAGTCTCTGCAGCAGCTGTGCTGCTCACTTCCCCTTTTGTTCTTCCCAGGAGCTGCCTGACCCTTCTGCAGCCATACCCGCTGTCACCCAAAATTAATGTGCCCACCAACATTTATTCACCAACTTCTGCTTTGCACCCTCATCCATTATTTTTTAATATTAACTGAGCAAAGAAATGCACCACAGTGTAAAAGGCTAAAATCCACCCTGGATCTGTGGTATGAACTAGAAGTCACACCAACCCATGGCAGTCTGTCCAGTCCCCACAGCTCACCAGTATCTACTCAAATATTTTAGGTGTAAAGTACAGTCTTAGGGAGTTTTGTCTCTGATGGAAGACAGCTGTGAGAAATATTTGACAAACCAGATACAAACCTCTTCCTGGAGTTTTGAATTGGTCTTTTCTAAACAGTCTATTTTGTTCTGGAGATCTGCAACTGTGCAACTGCAGCAAGGAAGAGAGATGCATAAAAAACAATAAATGAAGTGTCAATGTTCAACTTTTATTCCTATCCTCAAGAGTATTTTTACCATCTTGCACTTGTTAACAATGAAGTACTTTGGTGAGCTGAGGAAAAACTCTGAGGAAGAACAACTGTCCTTCTCAAGCACTGAGTGGACCATGTCCTTCTGCTGGCAGCCCTGTTCTGGCTTAGCTTTCACAGTCGTAGCACCTCTCCTGCTCAAGAGAGTAAGGGAGACCTGCTTGTCCCACTGAGCAACCTATGGGGCAAGAGTAGACACTCTTCCTCCAAGGAATGAATTTCCAGATACACTTGCAATAGTTTCTCTTGAAAAAAATAGTTCCAGAATGTTCTGTTAATCACTCTCAATAAAGTAAACAATTACACACACTTGATTTCCATATTGCAGGTCCCTGCAGAAGAGCAGAACTACAAAATGGAATTAAGATTTTTGGGAAATAATCATAAAATGCATTTCAATATCAAACAAAAATCTACCAGACTGGCAGCAGAGACATTCAAAGTCATGCTGGAAAAGCTAAACAGGACAAGTGTTTGTATATGAGAATAGATGAAAATCCCACCTTAGATGTCGGTTCAGTTCTTCCACATAATGCTTCTGGTCAAGGACAGCTGTAATCCCTCCATCTCTAGTTGTAAAAGTGAGAATTTATTGATTGAGAAGAAACTCTTTCATTCTGAAGTGCTATTCTGTACTAGGGCTTTCAGCATAGACCTGCAAACAGAGCTAAAATACTTTATCCTTTCCTTATAGAAATACTTGTGTCTGAGCTGGATCAGAAGCACCAGGAAGGTGAAGCAGCTGCTTGGCTGCTTCTCAGCAGCTCCACAGTGAAGTGCTCTGAAGTGACAGAAGAACATAAAATATGAAGATCCCTTCATTTGCTACAGGTCTTAGAAGACCTGATCTGTGCTGCTGACTGCAGTCTCAAATCTAATATTCCACTTAAAATTACATTTTTTCCTCCATAACTGATCTCTCCCTCAAAGACAGCTACTTAGTTGAGAGGTTTCTGAAACTGTGCTTATAAACAAAGCAGTGAGTTGGCAATGGGTGACTTGGTAAATCATCTCTTCTAAAACCAAATAAAACCACAATCTAATATTTTGTGGACTTTTAATTTGGTTACAGCTCAAGACTCAAGCTCTTCAAATTATTGTTAAAACTACCACAAATTCAGTCTCTGAAAGATATTACTTTTGTTTAGGTAACAAAATCTGGTTTGGGTTCTCCTTTTTAAATGATTAATAGTTTAAAATCACCAGCATTCCCATCCTCCCACAGACTGTCTGCCAGGTTTATTCTATAAAAATGGTAATGATTTAGAATTATTACTTCACTATACATACTGTTTGCTATCACTGTCCTGTGTTTCCTTAAGGTACAAGGAAAAATCAATCACTCCAACCTGAAAAATATATTTAAGATATTAACACACCTTCACAGTGCAATTATGTGTAGAAGCAGGCATTACTGTATATTTGGTAAGTGATACAAATCTGAAGTTGAGATTTAGAGAGACAAATAATACCTATATTCTTCCTAGCTGATGCAAGCATCCAAGCTAGCATTTGTCATAAAAGCATCAAAGTAACCATATAATGTGTTAAGAGTTTCCTTGCAGTTATTAGTTTTGACAGTATTTCCATAAACTGCTACTTATGTACTTTTTTTTAATTCACTGAGGGAAACACAACAAACTTCAACACAGGCCATGCTGGAAATAAATCTGGACCCACCCATCTCAATAAAGTATTTATAGATGTACTTAATTCTACTAGAATCCTATACCAGCTGATCCTATTTAAGCTTTAATCTTCACCTGGGAATCCAAGTCTTCTCCTTTCAAGCAGAGGTTTGCATCAATAACATTCAGTCCAACCAGCAGACCCACAATAACTGCTCCTTCCTCCTCCATCATCAGTGCATCAGGTTCATAAAATTCACTGCAACAAACAGTACAATGCATCACTGCACATCAGACAGTTATAATGGTACTTCCATCACTGAAATCATAACAATAATGCAGCCTTTACAAAACTCAGCTGAGTTCTCAGTTATTTATTGCATTAGGCAGAAGGTTTAGAACTCTCTTAGAAAATACTCTGCAAGTTCCTTTGTAGATTCACTGCAAAATCAATTAACCACTTGCTCCTCTGCAGGCTGCAAGAACAAGCTTAAACTGGTCAATTAATTACTCTCCCTGGAGCCACAGGAAGTATCAATGATTCAGGAATATTCAGGAATACATGTTCGTGCTGTTACCTTAACAGATGCTTATGGTCCAGGAGTACTTTGAGATAATCTGCCAGTTTCTTTTGCATGAGTGCTAGATAAAGCCAAGCCCTCCCTCTGCCCACAGCAGTCCTAAAATGATAAAATGCATGTTTTGGTAAAACCAAGGTGTTTTATTAACTAGACTTTTGCAAATCAAAATTCTCAGTTTACAAAGTAAGGGAAAGGACATTATTTACTAAAAAACAAGAACAAATCTCTGGGTAAATGAACTGTTGTCTCCAGAACACAAGAACATTTAAGTATATTCCTTTCTTCAGGGAAAGTATATTGTAAAGTCTTCTTAATTTGAAAACCCATACATATTGTCAACTACCACCATAATCCAACCATTAATATATCCTAGTATTAAAATCAAGTCTATTTCAATCATTCTGAATCACTCAAACCAAATACTATCAGCACATGCACAAAATGACATAAAATCATGAAAGTGGGGGAAAGAAGAGGAAAAAAAAAAACCCTGTGAATACTTTAGTTATTTTTAGCAAGGTTATAAAAGTTTCCAAATGCTGTTTTCAATCTGATAGCATTGAGTCAGAAACTCTGAATATTTTGAGATATTCT